GAACTTTAATAATTCAGTGTGGCTGTCATATAAAGTAATGAAGGAGATATGGGGAAATGTGAACTTTATTTTAGGCAGTTGACAGATTTTGAAGCACTTTACACGAACTAAAGAATTCAGACTTTATCCTGCAGACAGTGAGGAGCCACTGAAATGTTTTAAGCAAGAGAGTAACATAATTAGATTTCAGTTTAGAAAGATCTCTCTTTGTGCACTTAGCAAAAAGAACAGTTAGGAAATGATTATAGTAATCAGAAAGAGACACAAGATTCTGAACTAGAACAGTGACAGTGAAGAAAGTGGGTAGATTGAAGAGATAAAAAGAATAAATAAGTGATAAAACTTGGTGGTTAAGTGGATGTGAGATGTGCAAGAGAGGATGTTAGTACAATAATTATGAGGATTTCTGGCTTGAGCATTAGTATTGTTTTAGGAAATAAACATTTATAAGAAAAGAATTAAATCTGTTTAATTCTAGAAATGTTGAGTTTGAGAGACTTCTGTGTTGTCCAGATGATAACATTGAGCAGGCATTTAGATATCTTGGAAATAATGGAATGGAGAAATCCGGTAGCTCTGAAAGTGGATAAAATTGCTGAGCAAGCGATTAAGTCTAGGTTAGCAGATCATTAGTGGGCTGAGCAGACAATACTGGAGAATATAAACATTTAGAGAAAGCCAGTGAAACAGATTGGGCAGGATTCAGAGAAGTAGGAATGTGGCCATTGAGAAAGAGAAAAGCATTTTTAGAGAGGTAATGGATAATTTGCAGCTGCTTAAAAAAGTTAAAAGTAATTGCAAAATGTGAAAGATTTGGCATTTTAGGAGAGAATAGTGGTGATTATTGGTAAAATAGTTACAAAACAGTGGGTGTGGGTAGGGACAACTGGAAAAGCAAATGGGGGATGTAGAAGTAGGGGCTGGATGAGCTGGGAAGTGAAGAAGAGAAAGGTGATGGCATGTGGGGAAAAGCTGTTCAGATAGAGACTTAGGTTAGTTTGAATGCTTTGGGAAAACAGTAGTGTAATAGAGGAGGCAAATGATAGAGGAACATCCCTGAGGAACCAGGAAATAATTAGATGGGATCTAGAGTACGGGTAGAGTTGCTCTTAAATGGAAAGTGAGAAGGAGGTAAAGTAAGTACATGAATGTGGATGCCAATGATTTTGTCAGTGTAGTGGGAGCAAGTTGAAGTTTACTTCAGTGAATTCTCTTTTCTCTGTGAGGTGAGGTAATCTGAGGAGGGGCTACCTGTGGTCTAGAATCACAAATTCCCGGCAAGGATAACATCGATCTATGCAAGAGGAAATGATAGATGATGAATTTATCTCCATTAATAACATTTGCTTTTGTGGATCTAAAGTGATGAACATATTAATAAACATACTATGTATATATTCTGCCTCCCACCCACTGAGCTTTTCCAAAGTTTCAGAAATTCAGTCCAAGATAAAGATTTTCTTGAATCTCATTGCCGTTAGTAATTATATTCTTCTTTGCCATTTCTGTTAATTTTTTTAGAATAGGCTGTCTCAACCTTGGCACTCTTTTGACATTTTTGCAAATAATTCTTTGTTGTGGAGATTATCTTGTGCATTGTAAGATGTTTAAGAGCATGTCTGACCTTTTACTGCTAGATACCAAGCCCTTCCCACAGTTGTAACAATAAAATATTTTCACAGATGTCAGGGAATGTGTCTTAGTAAACAAAATGAGCTTCAACTGAGTAGCTCTATTCTAGACAAATGGAAAGAGCTCAAGAGAGAAAACAAGAATTTATACTACATAAGTACATATATTTATCAGTTGATTATGACAATTTTAATTAAATGTAGGTATGCTCCCCTTTGACCAATTATAAAATTAAGACTCAGAGAAGTTAAATGACTTATCTAAGATGGCTTAGGCAATAAATGATTGTGGTGGGATTTTAAATCAAGTGAGTTAGATTCCTAAAATATAGATCCTCAGTGGCCCTGTGTGGTCTTTGGAGGAGTACCCTCAATGGAGCATGGACCTGTAAACTGCCATAAATTTAAATATATATATATATATATATATATATATATATATATATCTTTTTCTTAAACAACAATAACAAATAAAAAAGACATACATGTACACACACAAAGTGATATTTGAATTACAGTATCATACTATACATGCTGTTTTATAAGCTGCTTGAGAATATTTAATCTCTTCATGTCAGTTCATATAAATCTATAGTACTTCTTAATAGTTGCATAGTATTAATCATTCTTTACATGGACCACAATTTATGAAGCTTTCCCCATGTTATTAGATATTTATGTGTTTTTAAAAGAACGATGCATGGGAGAGATCAGTGTGTATATGTGTGAGCATTTCTGCTCAATTAAGAGGCCTAGAAGTAGTGAGAATTAAAAAGACATTTAAAGACATGCTTGCTACTTCTAGATTGATCATCTCCGCCAATACGGCTACAACAATCACATTGCAAACACAAGCTTAATAAGCCATTTCACCCATTCCTTTGCTACTTGAGGACAATAGAGATTTTTCTCAAATTACCGATTGGATGGACAAAATGTGATATCATTCTTTTTACTTGCACTTGTGACAGTTAAGGGGAGCTTCACAACTTGGATGGCTTTTAAATCCATCTCAGAGAATGAGTAGAGCACGTTTCTAGGTGTGTCGGTAGGTGTGTTGGGTATGGCCTTGGCATTTTATGTCTGGTACCTTACCCCTCTGGCACTCTTCACGTGCTCTGTTTCCCAGTCCACTCTGACTAAGCAACTTTGCTGCACCATACACTGCACTATAATGTCTTTGCATTGGAGCTAGCTGACCATGGAATGAATTCTCTGAAACTGTGAACCAAATTAAACCTCTCTTCCTGGGTGCTGGATATTGTGTCTCAGTGATAAGAAAGCTATTACAGCAGGGTTTTTTTTGTTTATTATTATTTTTTGTTTTTGTTTTTCTCTTTTGGGGCAGAGCCTTACTATGTAACACAAGCTGACCATGAACTCATTATGTACCCTAAACTGGGCTTGAACTTGGGGCAGTCCTATTGCTTAGCGTCCCAAGTGCTCGTATTACAGGTACACGCCACCACATCTGGCTAACAGCATTTTTATGATGACTGGTGGAGTTTACTTTATGTTTATGAGTTATTCACTTTCTTCTTGCATGTACCTTTTAATACTTTTGTTCATTTCTTTGTTTTAGCAATCTATTTCTTATTGGCTTGATGTTAACTTATTATCTACTATGTATGTTTAATATACTTCTCCATAATTTATTGATTACCTTAATGATTTTTAAAGATGTCTTTTGCCTTAAAGAAATTATAATGTTTATAAGTCACAGGTGCCATTATTTTCCATGATAACTGCTATTTCCGTTTTGTATTAAAAAGCCTATTTGGGAGATAGTTTTAAGATTTATACTAGAATTCTGGGGCTGGGGATTTAGCTCAGCGGCATAACCACCTGCCTTGCAAGCAGGTGGTCGTGAGTTCAATCCCCGGTACCAATAAAAAAAAAAGATTTATATTAGAATTCTAATATGGAAAGTTATCCATTTGGTTAAAAACACAATTGTCTCTGTGGGTATTTCATATAACATTCAGAAAATAAATTCCAATTTCTAGAATGTAGGCCTAACCATGAAAATACTAAAATAGTACTTAAGGTATATATGAAAATACATCTATGACCTAAATAAAGAAATATACTTACCAAACACATTTAAGAAAAAGACAGTCTTAAGATTATTGATAGAAGTATAAATTGTTATGATTGATTCTCAACAGCTTTGTAGAGGCACAGAAGAGTAATTTACATAAAATAAACTACACATATTTAAAACAATTAGTTTTATAACTTCTAAAATGTATATACCTGTGAAACCATTACCACAATCAAGGGAATGATTATCTCCCCTAAGAGTTTTTCCTTGTCCCTTTGAAGTCTCATCCACACCACCCCCATCTCAGGCAACTGTTGATTAGGCCTCTGTCAATATATGTTAATTTGCATTTTTAAGAGTTTAGTGTAAGTATAATCACATCAGATGTACTTTTTGGGGACTCTAATTTATTCAGCATAATTTTTTCTGAAATTAATGCAAATTGTTCCATAAATTATTTCTGTCTTAATTTAATACTAAATCTTCCTATATGCTGCAGTTTGGTTATCTATGCACTAGCCAGTGAGTGTGTGAATTGTTTACAGTTTGAGATTATAAACAATTCTATAGTGACCATTTATATACAAATCTGTAGCTGTATGTTTTCTTTAGATCACATAGTAACTGTATGTTTTACTTTTTAAGAAAGTGCCAACATTTTCTTAACCATCAGGTCCTTGGGTATTCCTTCATTGGGAGTTTTTAAACTATCAATTCAAAATTCTAGTGATTATAGGATGATTCAAATTATCTATTTAACTGGGTCATGTTTTTTTTAATCCACTATGCCACTGTAACATGATATTCCCACGAATAATGCAAGTTTTAATTTCTCCATCTCTCTAATGTGGTACTCTTAAGTCTTTTAAAGAAATTTTAACCATTCTAATAAGTGTGCAATGGTAGGTCATTGTGATTTTAATTTGCATTTCCCTAATGACCTAATATTATCAAACATCTTTTTATGTTACCTATGTGTATGACTTCTTTGGTGAAGTATCAGTTGAAATCAATTTTATTTTTCCATTACAGCATTTTTTACCCTAGCAAGGCATGGGTAAAACTTGAAAATGTAGCAGCAGAAGAAGCACTAAGTGAATTCTGTTCAGTAAGAATATGTAACCAATAAGAAGAAAGAATGCATGGTTTACCTATTTTAGTGTTCATTTTTTATTTATAAATTGATTTAAATATTGATTTGTAAAACATGAACAAATTTAGTAGATAATTTGAATCATCCTATAGCAATTAAAATTTAATTTATAAACTCCCAGTGAAGAAATACCTATGACCACAATGGTCAAGAAAATGTTGGCACTTTCTTAATGGCCCTGCATCAAGGATGGCAGTTTTCTGAAGCTGTTGGTTTCAAGCAGAAGCCTAAAGTGGTATCTTTCTATGATCTGTTAGCCATTTCATAACTTTAGAAATATAATGGTTAATTAGTTAGAAAGAAACAAAACCCCCAACCCTGTGAGCAGTCTGTTGTCTGCCAGAGGAGAGGGAACCATGCTCCCTGGTGAGCCCAATACTGGGTGGGTGGAAGAGAGATAGCCAAGCCTCTAGGGGTCTGCTGTCATCAGAGGAACATCAATGAGCAGCCACCTCTCACCTCTGCCATCTCAGCCACTTCAGATCAGAGGAACCCAAGTACCTACTGCAATCCCCTGCACCACCAGATGCACTGCCAATGCAGAAAATACTTGGGACTTAGCAACCAGCTGATTATATCAAGATAAAGGAGCAGGGTGCAATTTCAGACCTCCAGCCCACCCAGAACAAGTCCAAGAGACATAGACATAGAGGAAATTAAAAGCCACATACCTGAAGTTTCTGAGATGATGGCAACTGAATTAAAGAAGCACCTTAGTGCTTGTATTGTTTGATTGACCTTGTATGCCTGTGTCTGGCTGTCTGAGCATAGAGTATTAACAATGTGCATTACAGTAACTATGGTTGATTTCCTACTGTCTTGATTTTGAAATACAATATCATTTCCATTGTTTTGTTTTATCGTTTTGTTTTGTTTTAGTCTCTTTAAAAATTTAAAATTTTTAAAAAAGAATAAAAAGAAATGGAGATAGTAAATGTTGTATAGACTGAAGTATGTCAAAGCTTACACACATTAACTTGAAAGGTCTTCCAGAGAAAAGTATATTTGATTGAAATCCTAGGAAATGGATAGAGCAATCTGCATTTATATCTGGAGAGGGAAGAGAGAGTACTCCAGGTACAAGAAAAAGTCAGTGTAAAGACCTTGTTGTATTTCAGGAACAGAAAGAAATATTTGTAACTACTGTTACAGTCCTAGAGCATCTGCTCATAAAAATGGTAACCAATTAGAATATTATTCCTGATGACACAATAAGAAATATGATCTAGAATTTTCTGGCCTCAGTGCTCATCTGCTTGCTGCTATGTCATATTCTTTCTTAATACCCACAAGATACTATATATTACTGGTTTTTAATTATTCACACATTGTTACATTTTCATTGACCAACTTCTACACAGGCTCTCTGTATGTTTCCAATCATGTGATTTCCATGGTGACGCTTCCCTGACAGGATGCTGGGCCTGATATTTCATTTCTGACTAATCACTAAGGTCAACATTTTTATTCTTACTGGATGAACCATAGTCCTCTTCCTCTCTTAACACATATGTTTATCATTTCAAAGTATGTGCACTCAGGGCAAAAGGCCAGTCTCCCCAGAGAGACAAAAATCCTTATGTTTACATGAAATACTATAAAAATCCTAATCACAGTTCTTCCTGAAGCACTATGGATATTATCTAAAGCTGTTATTTGTTTTTTTCATTTCAATTTTATTTTACTTTTATTTTTAGAATAGGTAATGCACCCTTATATGAAATTTTAAAAGAACAAAATTATGTAAGAGAGCAAAATAAGTTTTCTCATCTCTTTTCTGCCTAGAGATAAACAATGAAACTGGATCCTTTGGTACTTGAGAAATATTAAGTATATATGTGTATATGTGGATGTAGGTACATTCGGTCTGTCTTTGAATCTGACCTTCATCCATACAATGCACCTTGATAATTTTATTATTATATGTTTGTGGTACATAATATTACATTCATTTTAGGATATTGGCACATGTACATTATCACAGCTAGATCAGTTTTAGTCTCCTCTTCCCCCATACTCCCTCTTCCTTTTCTCAGATTGTTCTCCTATCTCCACAAAGTCTACCTCCCTGTTTCCTGATCTCTCTTTTATTTTGTTCTTTAAATTATGTATATTTTGGGTTTCTCATATAGGAAAATCTATGTGACATTTAACCTGCATTTGATTTACGGTACTTAGAATTATAGTCTTAAGAGCCATCAGTTTTCATACAAATGACTCACGGTATCAATCTTTATAGCTAGTGGTTTTATATATATATATATATATATACACATAACCACATTTTATGTATATAGACATATGTTGATGGACATATAGGCCACCTCTAAGATTTGACTATTGTAAATTGTGTTGCCATTGAACATGGCTGTACATATATCAATGTAATATTGTATCTTTAATTATTTCAGGGAGATATCTAGATGGAGAATAGCTGAGTTGAATGGAATTTGCATTTTTAGTATTTTGAGGAATCTCCATAATGATTTCCATAATGATTGTTTTAGTTTATATTTCCACCAACAATGTAGAAGGTCTCTTTCCTTAACCTCACTACCCTTTGTTGTTGAGTTATTGATGATAGCCATTCTTTCTGGAATAAGATGGAATCTCAGTGTTGCTTTATGTTTCCCTAATGGCCAAAGATACTGATAATTTTTTGTACTTGTTAGCCATTTGTACTTATTTTGAGAGGTGTCTTCATTTCAATTGCCTGTTTTTAATTGGGTCTTTTATTTTTTGTAGGTGTGGATTCTAATTTTTTTGAGTTCTTGACACATTCTAGATATTAGTCTTCTGTCTGAGAAATAGCTGTGAATTTTTTTCCCATTCTGTAAGTTGCCTCTTCATACTATTGTTTTTTTTTTGCTGTGCCGAAGCTTTCAAATTTTACATAAGCCCATTTGTTGATTTTTGGCATTATTTTTTGTTCATTTGGAATTCTGTTCAGAAAGTTCTTGCCTGTGCCTGTTTTCAAGAGTTTTACTTATTTTATCTTCTGGAAGATTCAGTGTTTGTGTTTTTATATCTGGGTCTGTGATCAATTTTGATTTGATTTGATTTTAATACAGAGTGAGCTATGTGGGTTTAGAGTTATTCTTTTGCCAGTGAATAACTACTTTTCTCCTAGCACCATTTGTTAAAGATACTGTCTTTTCTGAAGCATAAATTTTGACCATTTTTTAAAGAAAATCAGGTGGCTGAAAATGCATAAAGTTGTTTCTGCATCTTCAGTATTATTTTGGTGAACATGGCTATTTTTATGCCAGTATCATGCTGATTTCACTAGTGTCACTTTATAATATAACTTGAAATCCAGGATTGCTTCCTGCTTTCCTCTTTTTGTTCAGGATTACTTAGGTGATTTTTATTCACTTCTAGTTTCATGTAAACTTTAGTATTTTGTTTCTAATTCTGTGATAATACTCTTGGTATTTTGATTGGAACTGCATTAAATTCATATATCATTTTTGGTACTATTGTCATTTTGACAATATTGGCTCTACCTATCCAGGAAAAGGTGATAAGTTTCCATTTTCTAATGTCCTTGCTAGTCTTTTTTTCTAGAATACTACTGCAGTTTTCTTTATAGAGGTATTTTATTGCCTTGATTAGTTTAATTCTTAACTGTTTTAATTTTTTGATACTATTATGAATGAAATTGTACTACTGAATTTTTTTCAGTGGGTTTGCTGTTGTTGCCCAGGAATGCCACTGAGCTTTGTATGTTGAACCACTTTGCTCAATTTGTTTGTTAATTAAGAGTCTTCTGATGGAGTTTTTTTGTCCTCTGTATACTCATGTCATCTGCAAATAAAAATAATTTGAGTTCTTCCTTACCTATTTATGCCCTTTTTCTTTGTTTCTCTTTCCTGATTGCTGTGGCCAAAGTTTTGAATACAATATTGAAAAGGAGTGGTTAGAGGGGACATCCTTTTGTTGCTGCTGATTTTAGAGGAAATGTTCAATGTTTTCCCATTTAATGTAATGTTGCAGTAAGTTTGTCATAAAACAACTTTTGTGAGGTTAAGATAAGGGCCTTCCATACCTATTTTCATCAGGGTTTTTTTTTTTTTAAATCATGAGTGAATATTGGATTTTTGTTAGTAGCTTTCTATGCATCTATTGAAACGATCTTGTGATTTTATCCTTGTGCATATTTATGTAGTGTATTATATTTATTGATTTATGTGTATAGAACCTTCCTTACATCTCTGCATTTAAGCTGTCTTGGTCATGATTTATGTTCTATTTAATGATTTTTTGCATTGTATTGTATCTTGTTGAGGATTTTTGCATCTATGCTAATTTGGCACATTGGCCTCTAGTATTCTTTTTCTGTTGTTATTGAGTCTTCGTCTGGTTGTGGTATCAAAGTAATGCTAGCATTGGCCTCCCTGGTAAGCGGCTGCAGTGTGGCAGACTGTGGCCCATCCAGGGGAAGAACCACCAGTGTCTCCTGAGATCTGCGCCATGTTGGAACTTAGGACCCTAGGAAACCAAGCAAGCAGCTCACCTCCCTGGTAAGGGGCGGCAGTGTGGCAGACTGTGGCCCTTCCAGGGGGAGAACCACCATTGTCTCCTGAGATCCACGTCATGTTGGAACTTAGGACCCTAGGAAACCAAGCAAACAGCTCGCCTCCCTGGTAAGCGGCTGCTGTGTGGCAGGCGGTGGTGGTGTGGCAGACTGCAGCTCTTCCATCGGGAGAACCACCAATGTCTCCTGAGATCCATGTCATGTTGGAACTTAGGACCCTGGGAAACCAAGCAAGCAGCCCTTTTCCCTGGTAAGTCACTGCATTGTGGCATACTGCGGCCCTTCCAGGGGGAGAACCACCAGTGTCTCCTGAGATCCACGCCATGTTGGAACTTAGGACGCTGGGAAACTAAGAAAGCAGCTAGTCTCCCTGGTAAGTGGCTGTGGTGTGGCGGACTGGAGCCCCTCCATGGGGAGAACCACCAGTGTCTTCTGAGATCCATACCATGTTGGAAATTAGGACACTGGGAAACCAAGCATCCAGCCTGCCTCCCTGCTAAGCAATAGTGAACCTACTGGTGCACGACCTAGAGTCATACATCCCACTTCTCCTGCACCCCCCACACCCTGTTAGCAGATGGGAACCAGAAATCTGAGCATCTTTTGTGAGTTTGACCATAGCAAATAAGGAGGATTACCTTCTACCATCTCTTTGAAGGCAAATATTTTTATTACTGTTTTGCTTTATTCTGATTAATGGTACTGCTCTATTCAATATTCTGTTCTATAATATTCTGTATTTCATTTTATTTTGATATACGTTATTGAAAGAACAACTATTGTAAAGATAACAAATTATACTGTGATACTTATTACTGTTATCCCTGTAAGCTGCTGTGAAGTTCTGTACCAATCTCATTTCATGCTCTCAGTTGGCTTTATTCTGTCTTATTCTGTTGTATTTTGTTCAAAATAAAATTAAAAAATAAAAATAAAAAAATAAAGTAATGCTAGCATCAAGAAAAAAATTTGCAAGTTTTCCTTTTAATTTCATAGAAGATTTTAAAGAGTTTTGGCATTAGTTTTTCCTGAACTTCTGATAAAATTCAGTGACTAATTCATTGGATCCTGGGATTTTCTTTGTTGATAAGATTTTTGTTACTGCCTCAATTTCATTGTCTACCATTGGTCAGTTCAGAGTTTTTATGTCATCTTAGTATAAAGATTGATAATTAATATGTGTCTAGGAATTTACTTCTTCTAAACTCTTCTGTTTTTTGAAATATAAGTTTTCAAAGTAGTTCCCTGTAATCATCTGCATTTTGGCAGTATCTGCCAAAATTGGCACATTTAGCCTTTTTCATTTTTAATTGTATTGTTATGAATCTTTTCTTTTGATAAGTTTTGTTAAGATTTGTTGCTCTTATTTGTGCTTTAAATGGACTTTTGATTCATTGATCTTTCCTATTATTTTTAGTCTCAGTTTCATTAATTTTGCTCTGATCTTTATAAATTATTTCCTTCTACAAGTTTTGGATTTGGATTGCTCTGGTTTTTATAGGACCAAGATATGTACTATTAGAGTTTTGGGGGAGTTTGGGGTAAAATCACTCTAATTTTTTTCCTGTTTTTCTAATGTGGCCATTCATAGCTATCAACTTCCCTCTTAGAGCTGTTTTCATTGCCTCCCATAGGTTTAGAAATGTTGCCTTGCCATTGTTTGATTCCAAATCTTTTGAATTTCTCCTTTAACTGCTTTTATGATGCACTGTTTTTTCAAGGGTGTACTAATCTCCATGTTTGCCTATAGTTTCTGTTACTGTTGATTTCTAGTTTCATTCTTCCATGATCAGATGGTATGCAGGAGATTATTTCAGTTCTTTTGTATTTATGTAAGTATGCTATATGACATAAGATATGGTCTGTTTTGGAAAAAAGTCCATTACTGCTGAGGAAAACATGTGTTTTCTGTTAGCACGGGGTAAAAATCTCTATAGATATCATTTGTTTGATGGTGTGGTTCAACTCTAATATGTGGTTGATCTATTTGTTAGAATGAGTTGATGAAGTCCCCTTTGTGTCTATCTCTTATTTTACATCCAGTAATTATTGTTTTATGAAATGTGATGTTCCAGTATTTGGCACATACATATTTACAATTATCCCTTCATATTGAATTTTCCCTTTATCATTATATACCTTCTTTCTCCCCTATCAGTTTTGAGTTGAAGTTTCTTTTTCTGAAATTAGATTAGCTACTTCTTGCTTTTGGGTTCCTTTTGCAAGGGATATCATTTCTATCTGTTCAGTTTAAAGTTGTGTGTTCTTTTGTGGATGAGGTATGTCTCTTGAAGGCAATATACAGGGTTTTGGTTTTTTATCCACTCTGCTGATCTGTGTCTTTCAATTACAGACTGACAATCATTTATATTGAGAGTTACTAATGAAAAGTATTTACCGTATCCTGTCATTAAATTAACTTTTCAGTACTGATTCCTGTTTTTTTTTCCTTTTGTTTAACTAATCTTCCACTTAAATGTATTCTTTCCTTTGGTCCTTGCTTTCTTCTGTCTCAGATTCCCTTGAGAGCTTTTTGTAGTACTGGTTTTATGATCATTAGTTTTTTTCAGTTTTGTTGTGAAAGTCTTTTTTTTTTTTTTTGTACCAGGGATAGAACTCATGACCTTTCACTTGCCAGGCAGGTACTTACACCGCTGAGCTAAATCCTTGGGCTGAAAAGTCTATTTTGTCATAAGTTTTGAAGGAAAATTTTGCAGAATATAGTAATCTGGGTTGGCAATAATTTATATATTTATTTGTTTTTAGGGCTTGGAAAACTTCATACTACACTCTTTTGGTCTTTATGGTTTGTTTTTATAAATCTGCTATTATGCTAGAAACTTGGCTTTATATGTTACTTGATTTTTTTCTAACAGCTTTTAGTATTCTCTTTGAGTTGAATTCCTTTGAGTTTTACTATGATATGTTATGATAAAGTTCTTTCGGGTTGTGGATATTTGGATTTATATATGCCTCATTTACCTGCATAAATGTCAAATCATTTGTACTGTGATCTTGGTAAATAAATTTTTTATACTTTTAGTGTCATCTTCTTCTCTTAACTTTTATAATTTTTAGTACTTGTTTAGTCATGTAATGTAGCAGCTGTTAGATCGAGGTTTTCTTGCATCTGGATTTTAGGGTATCACTGAGTACATAATTTACTACATGAACCTTTTCTTCAGGTCCTGGCAGTCTTTCCTCAGATCAGTCACAACTGCTTCCCATATTATTTTCAATTGAGTTTTTGTATTCAGGATTTGTGCTTTATTTCTTTTTGTAATCTCTAATTCTTTACTAAAGTGGTTATGTGGATTTACATTGTTTCCTCTAATTCAGTAAACTTATTTTTGTTTGTATATTCTTAAAGCTGTTTGAACATCTTTAATTTACATCTTCTTTGAGCTCAGTGAACATGTTTGATATTGCTAACTTTTTTCACTTGATTCCTACCACTCTGCAAGTGGTAAATGATGCTAGCCTCATGTTATAGTGAGGATGTTAAAACTCAGATGGTGCTGTCCTCAAGTTACAGTAAGTATACTATGGCTCAGAGAACAGGGTACTGTGCCTGAGGTCTCCCAGGCAGTAAATAGAGCATCTAGGGCTGATGTTGCTGTCTTTTTAAAATATTCTTTCAGCCACACTAAGGAGTTCCAGGTCTTGTGCCTAGAAAATGGGAGGTTATATCTAAAAACTTGCTGATAATTGGAATGATTGAGAAAATTCCAATTCCTTTAACCATTCTAGTATTCACATGAGAGATATTACTTGTAATCCTGGTAGGCATCAGTTGGTGGGCCGTATGAGGAGATATATAACTTACTCTGTCACTTGGTTGTCTTTCTTATTCCTCTACAGATCTATTTAGGTCCACCTGAGGAAAGTGCTACAGCCCCAGTGCCTCCACCTCGAGTGACAGCAAGAAGACACAAACCAATCACGATTTCAAAACGTTTGCTGCGAGAAAGGACAATTTTCTATACTTCTTCCATGGATGAAAGTGAAGGTTTGTATTGAAATTCAACCTTAGCTTTTAAATCAAGATTAAACTTAAATAGGGGTGAAATAAGGTGTAGTCATTTTTCTCCACACAAATATAGACTTTTCTTAGTCCTGACTTAATACCAGCCAAGAGAAGCAAGGCTTATAGTTTGTACCCAGAGAAGGTATTAGTTCTTTGGCCATGGGTAGAAGATGAATGCATTTGTAGAAGTTAACATGATCCCTAATAGGACCAATAGAGGATCCAAGATGTTCTTAGATCAATGCCCCCAGTACACTGAAATATGTGAACAATAGGTTTTTCAAATGTTCTGAGATTTTAAATTCAAATTCAACTAATATAGGTTAAATAACTGCTATGTTCCAGGTATAGGTGAAATTATGACATATTCCCTGGTCTCAAGGAGCTTCCAGGATAAAGGATACATACATATATGAACAAATATGTGCCACCCAATGGAATAATTGCTAGTATGAAAATTATATCCATTCTTCATGAGTCTCCCCCAACTACTCCACTGAAACTACTTTTGTGAAGGTTTCCAATCTCCATGTGACCAAAACTAAAAATCATACCAGAATTTTCATCATATCCAGCTTGTGAGCTGCATTTGACATATTATTTTTTCTTGAAACATTGAACTTGGTTTTTAGAATAATAAATTCCTTTTTTATCTCACTAAACGTCCCATCTTAGTTTTCTCTACTGGTTTCTCTCTTTGCCCAACTACTACTGTTGGAAGATACCAGAGATTTTTCTTATCCCTCTTCCCTTTGTTGTTTTCCTGTGTGATCTCAATAAATCTCTGGTTTAAATATCATTTGAGTGCTGAAGGTGATTTTCAAATGTCTATATGTAGGAACTAGTAGCACCAGTCACCTGATTGCTAAGGATAAGAATGTTAGAATCATCCTTGATTAGTCTTTCTTTTGCCCTTATATCTGATCAATCAATACTCTCTATCAGCTCTAACTGCACATTATTTTTGCTAAATAAATCTTTCCATTTCCATTGCTACCCTTCTGACTGAACCTTTTTTATCTCTCACCTGGTATCTTTGCTTGCCTTCTTACCTACCTCCAATCTGTTCTCCATAGCAGCATGTGAAATGTACATGCTTCTGAAAATATTAAGATGTGTTATATACATGTACCAAGTCCCAAGAGAAATGTGATCATTATGTGCTACAAACATGTACTAGTAAAAAATAAAAATTAAAAAAAAATTGTCACATCCCATCATTCCCTCTGCTCTAAACTTCTAGTGACTGCCCTTCATGTTGAGAATATAATTTTCATTTTATACTGTATTATATAAAACTTCATTATCTCTCTGATCTTAGTTGATGCACTTCACAGTTTTATCATCCCTTTTGATTTCTCTGCTATAATCTCATTGTTTGTGATGTTACCGGTAGGTGTCGAGCTTGCCAAACCGCCTTTGCATTTGCTATTCTCTTGCTCCTCTAGAACTTCACAAGGCTTATGCCTTCATTTAGATCTTGGCCAAGTGCTATTTCCTCATAAACAGCTTCTCAGAGCACTCTAGTTAAATAATTTTTTCTCCTCCTCCAATCACTGCCTTTCTCTATATACTGTTTTATTTTATTCATATCACCTGCTATAATCAATATTATCTGTCTTTGACATAGAATATAAAATTTATTTTATCAACATTTCCTAGAAAATTACTGCTATGCATTTATAGAGTAATTGAAAGAATGTATATAAAGAATGATGAAGAGAAAGGGATTACCTAGCTTAAGGATCAATTTTCTCATAGAGGTTGCAACTTGTTATTCAAGACAAAATGGAAGGGAACGCTATGTGCTGTGTTTTTTTCATAAACTCTCTTGCTTGCTGTTTAGTTTTGTTTTCTGTACTCCTAGAGATTGGACCCTGAGCCTTCATACTGAGGTATAAATCAGTATGCTTTTTTATTTTGAGACAGGGCCTAGCTAAGTTGGCCAGGTAAGCTTGAACTTGTGATCCTCCTGCCTCAATATCCCTGAGTGCTAGAATTATATATGTGCATCACCATGCTAGCATTTTTATAGAATAACTTTATTTGTTTAAAGTCTTCCCAAATATAAACTCTATATCTGCAGAAATATTTTTTCTCATTGTATTCTCAGCACTAGAATAGTACCTGGTACATAGTACATTTTCAGAAAATGAACATAATAAATGAATGAACCAGGTGTCAATAGACCTAAGGTCTAATTTCATTGAGGCCAGTAGTCTGTTGAGTAACTTAAGTTAGCCACTTTTCCTTTCTGGGTTTCAGTGTCTGCTCTGAATGATATCTACCAGAAGATCTCCAGTGAGTTCACCCAGTGTTGACATTTATTTTTTAACTTTATTTTAGACTGAAATATAACTCACATACCATGGGATTCACCCTTTTAAACTGAACAACCCAGTAGTTTTAGTATATTTTGTACAAACATATTTTTCCAGAACATTTGCATTACTCCAAACAGAAACTCATAACTTCCGATTACCTGCACTCTCATTAGTTGATAATTACTAATCTACTGTTTTTTTTTTACAAATTTGACTAAACTACCTATTTCATATAAATGATGCTATTGTTGTGTTTTTCTTTTTGCAGTACTGTAGACTAAACTTGAGGCCTTCACACTGATCTATATCCCCCAACCCTTTTTTTAATTTTTTTTTTTTTTTTTGCAACATGGTCTCCTTAAATTACTAACTTTCCCAGGCTGGTCTCAAATCTGAAAATTTCTTGCCTCAGCCTCTCGTAGTTCTGAGATTATTGGATTGTGTCAATATGCCTAACTCACTATATAGTTGTTCCTGGATGGCAAATTATCTCACTTCTAATGTATTCAAGTTTTGTCCATGTTGTACCAAATAATAGCCATGTATATGGTACACCATATTTTGTTTATTCATTCATCATTTGATGGAAATTTAAGGTGTATTCACCTTTGGGCTGCTATGAATAATGCTGCAGATTTTTGTGTGAATGTCTGTTTGTCTTGACTATGTACTAGAACCTTGGTTCTATGATTACCCTATAGGATTTTTTGTTTTTGTTTTTCGGCTTTTTCAGACATGGTCTCACTATGTCATTCAGGCTGGTCTTGAATTCACTATGTAGCCTAGACTGGCCTCAGATTTGTGGTAATCTTAGAGTTCTGGGATTACAGGTGTGTCCAGCCACATCAGGAAAATCATTCTATATTTAAATTTATAAAATGACCAGACTCTTTTCAAAAGGAGGTATATCACTGTGCTTTACCACCAGCAGTGGATGACAGTTCTTGTTGCTCCATGTCCTTGTTAACACTTGTTATAATCTTAATTTTTTATTCTTGCCATCCTAAGTGGGTATGAATTCGTAATGTCATTTAATCCTCAGCATTCCTGAGTGAGATAGGCATATGAGGCTACATTTTACAGTGAAAATATTGGAATCCCCGATAGAATGAGTATTTTGCCTAATTAGTATCTCTGCTAGATGACACAACAACAATTTGTACCAAATTATCTTATCCCAAAGCTCATTTTCCTATTACAATATAGTATTTCCCATAATCTGTCTGAACACTGTGCCAAGAACAAAAACAACCCTTCTACTCACCAATGTTCTTTACCTGCAGTAACTCATTATCTTACTCCAGACTTATTATTCTGTTTTAAAATAGTATGTCAGTGAATCGTTCCACCACTCTCTTGGATGCCTTCACACACCCATATCTAAGCTCTTGCCATTCTGTCTCTTCAGCATCTCTTAAATCTGTGTCTGCTGATGCTGTTCCAGTTTAGATCTTTCTCATTATCATTCACATAGTTGATCTTGCTACTTACAGTCTCTCTGGCCCAGTCTACTTTTCATAATGAACCAGTGGGCTATTCTAAAAACATGTATTTGACAAAGCCATTTCTCTGTCCAAAGATAGCTTATATTACTGTCTAGCATTCACAGCCTTAATGATAACAGCACCAATGTCTTAACAACCTTATCTCTAGCTACTCACACCTTTTCTCTCAAATGTTCAAGCCAAATAAGACTGTTTATTTTTAAAAGTTTTTGACAAACCTTTGCTTTCACTCATCTAAGTTGTTCTTTGTCTATTCTTCTTTCATTTATATCCACTACCTATTCCTCAAGCAGATATCATGTTCTTTCATCTGTAAATGTAAATATTTCAGTATGTATCACTAAAAGATAAAGATTCTTTTTTAAAGTACAACTATCATACTCATCCTACCAAACACAAACAATACAACTCTTGAGGATCAATTATTTAGTTGACATCCAGATTTTTCTATCATCTGATTAAAGAGAAAACAGGATCCAGATACAATCCAGGTATTATAGTCTTTTGATTTAGCTCTCAGATCTTATTTTGCTGACCAATACCTATGGTCTTAATCACTAAACTCTAATCTAAGTTTTCTATTACCAAAGAAGGTGACAGTTTCCTTAGAGCAGGTGTTATTGATCTGGGGCAGGGGGCATGACAGATTCAGGGGACTCTGAATCAGATTAAAATTAGTCTTCCAAACTTTAACTGTATTTGTATAAGCTAATTTTTTAAGATAAAGGCTCCTGTTTCACATTAGAGTCTGAGAGTTCTTAAGTTAGACTCAGACTCACTGATAAGCATATATTAATATCAGCGGAAATTGTAGATTGTAAAGGCCAGGAGAGAACATAGAGTGTCCATTTGAGGGTCTCTTTGGGCCCTCAGAAGGGTCTAAAGGCAGCAAAAGAAGTTAAATTGTATTATGTTTATGAGCCTGAAATTTGAGAGACCTTAACATATTAGATTTGAAAGAAATAGTTAAGAATTATCTGATGCCTTTATTTAGAAACAATAAAATAGGTAATTCACTAGAGATTCTAAGTCCCTTTAGAATTACATATCCCTTTGAATAAAACATCCTGGTTTATTGTGATTCATTGAATTGTGATGGTGAAAATAATACTTGGATCTTGGTTTGAATTCCTTATTTGGATGGAACCTGTGACATTATATGAATTGGAGAGGGTAACGACTAATCTTGTGAAATTTTTGCCACAGGGTATAGTGTTGTGAAAATGTTTACAAATTTTCAAAATTATATATGTATGCATATATTAAAATGGAAAAGTTTTAAAGGCTATCATTAATCTTCCCTTTTGTACCAACTTTCCCCAGATGACATCCAACATCAAACACCCAACGGTTCTTTCATTAGCAGCCTAGAACCACCTAAACTGCTACAGCATCTCAAACCGCCCATACAGAGGAATGCAGAAGCTGATCCTGGGAGGAAGTCTCCAAGCAGACTTGCTCCAGATAGCAAATTAGAGCCTTGCCCTGAGGTGGATGTGGGGAAATTGGTGTCTAAACTGCAGGATGGAGGGACCAAGGCCACCCCCAAAAGCACCAATGGACTTATGCCAGCCTCTGGGCCCATGAAGACCCCCTCTTTGCACATAAAGAGACAAGCTCCCCGGCCTCTGGCTCACCAGAAGGAGGGTAAGTGTTTGAGAATCCCTTGTGCTCTAGAACTGAACTCACCTATTTCTTACCTTGTGATCCTTTTGGCTTTGGAGATATCTTTAAGTGGAAATCAATTCTACTGTACTAGTACTCATTCTGGAATGGTGTGTGAAACTATAAAAGCCATTCACAATAATCACTAGAATGTTAGCTTTATTAGGGGAAGTATTTGGGGTCCTGTTTTATTTTCCTCTATCACCCCAGTGCCTAGAACAATACCTGGGTGACACATAGTAGGCACTTTTTATTTGTAGAATTAAATAATGAATTACACCAAGAATACTCTGGCTTCTATTGCTTATGAAATATTTTATGTGTACCTGGCACTGTTCTGGCTTTTGTCATACTGTTTCTTATTCCCATGACCATACTATATAAAATGTATTGGGGTTTTCTGTTTGTTTTTTTTTTCCTTGTTAGAAAGAAAATTTATTTATATGTGATAATTAGCAGAGTGGGGATCTAAATCTTACCACATCTGGCAGGGAACAAAGTTTGTGTTCTTTCCACAAAGGCCTACCACTTTACCTTCTGATAAGAATCTTTGAATTTATAAATTATTATTTTCTTAGTCTGTTTCCAATTTGGGAATAAGGACAAAAGGGTCCATCTCCTCCAAAACTCCAGACTTTTGAAATTATTACAGATTCAGGATGTTGAATTTCATTGGCTGTGTACATGAAGACTCATCAAGGGGTTGTGGTTGATCCAGAAGGAAGTTTTGAAGGATATAATTCTGTAAAGATAATATAGTATAATGGGAAGAATATGAACTTGGGTCTTGGACAGGCTTCAATCCAAATTCTGACTTTTCTACTTTGTAGCTATATGATATTCTAAACATATGCATTATTTTTTTATTTTAAAGACAATAAAATCCAACAAAACAAGACAGACCAAAGCCAATCAAAACAAATGCAGTGAAATTGGTACATAACTTCAAAGCAGGATACTGGGAAAACAATAATAGCTACCATAGTATATCTTGTTACCTTCTCAATAGTTATCCATTTCATCAGGTACAGCAAAATCAAACTGAAAACAAAACACTATAAAACCAATCAAAACAGAATATTGAATAATGCAAAACAGCTAATCAGAACAAAGCAAAATAGTGAAAACAATATTGGACTTCAAAGACAAGGTAGAAAAGAATCCCCCATATTTGCTCTATTGCATGCTGTCATCCTCCCAAGAGATGCTCAGACCACTGTTCCCAGGCCTGCATAATCAACCAAACAATGCAAGCATTTAGTTGTTTTATGTGTCTTAGTTGCTATCAACTCAGGCTGACTTTGGAACTTTCCACCTGTTTGTGGTGGTGATGGGGTATATAGATGGTGTTTGATTCTCAGCCTGCAAACCAGTAGGGCTCACAGGGGGAACTATCTGACTTTTATCTCCCTGGAACGTGAGCGACTTGCACAGATTACCAGGAAGGCTGGCTAGTTGATTTCTTGGTTGGTCCACCAAGTCCTAGCATGGCCGATTCTCAGGAGACACTGACTTTTCTTTCCCTGGAGGGCAGGTGGCTTGCCACATTACATGTTTATATGCTGTCCTGTTCTAAAATGATTAAGGCATTTCACAGTATAACCAAATGTAAAAACATTTAAAATAGTAAACATAGCGTATTTTACAACTGTTTATTAAGTACTGAGTGTGTGCCTGACCCCATTCGACATGCTGAGGACACAGGAATGAAAAAGACATGCAATGTGACTTGTGATTAGAACAAAGCTATGCAATATGGGCTATACTGGGTCCATTGACTCTTTTTATATTTTAAATGTTTGAGAAAATAAAACAAAGTGATATTTCATGATACATGAAAATTATAAAAGTTCAAATTTGTGTTATTAACCTAAGCATACCATTTCTTTAACATACCATATAAGGCTGTTTTCACTTTACAGCAACATAATGGAATTGGAGCAACATAAACCGTATGGCTTGCAACGCTTTAAATATTAATGATATGACACAATACAAAAAATGTTTGCCAACCATTGCCTAAGATTCTAGAATGTAAGTAGAAAATACAAATCCTAGAGTGGGTAGGAAAGGGGAAGATAGTAGGAAAATGGCACAAATGAAGCTAGAATGCAAAATGTCTGCCATGAAGTCTTATATACTTGCTGGGATACCACCACAGAGTTGGTTCCAAACGTTTTAGAGAAAACAAAATTCTAAGTTCTCAGAAGAAAAGCACTCACATTGTTCAGGTAAAGCACAGCTCTTCTAATTTTGAGGCTAGGGGAAATTTTCAACCATGGATTTTGACACATAATTTAGTAAGAATTCTATTCTGTGTCAGATCCAGTAAAATTTCCATGAAATAACTGACACTGAATGCTCTGGCTTGATCCCCTGATATATTTATGTGATTAGAGTTAATTAACCTCTTTGTACATTTGTTTCCATATCTATAACATGAGAGAAACAACTCTTACAGAGTTATTACTGGGATTAAAAGGAATAACAATATCTGGTATTTAAGCAATATTCAAAATATAATATTAATTCTTTCCCCCTTTCTCTAAAATTTGCCTTTTCTGAGAAGCAGCCAAGAAAGGCCAGGTTTCCATGTACATATCTGCTTCACTTTAAAAGTCATATACTGACCTTCACATAAGGCTAGTGGAAAGTTGTGTCACTCCACTTATATTTATCACGGTAAATTTGTCTTGCCTATCACCAAACTTTGAGATCAGTCAAATCCTGTCAGCTCAGCACACATAGTAACTGCCCACCCTGTCAGTTCTGCCTTCACCATTTTCTGCTGCAAAGTTCAATCCCAGCAGCATTTTTTCCCTGTTCTACACAGTCCTGTCCCCTGTGCTGCTGGCAGCAGTTGCTGTGATCCAGTGGTGTTAGTTAATGTTCAGTACCTGTCTGTCTTATCTAGTATCTGCCAGACTATCTAAATCTGAGAGCATTATCAATCTTTGCTTTCTGTCTTACATCAGTTAATAGCAGGCTGGCATGATGCAGCTTTTTTCAAAGGTCCTGGCCTCCAGCCTTCGCTACAGAAATCAGAACTGAGTTGGTTTTGGCCTTTGTGTAGGATAAGCCAAAACTCTGTTATAGTTGTTTTCTTTCAACTATGCTCACTCCTCTTCCTAGTTTCTTCTTCCCTCTCTTCCTCCTCATTTTGGCTACTGCTCTGTAGGATATTCCTGGACATCAAAAAAGGTTATCAATTAAATAAAAGCTGCAAATAGCTCTGACTTTGTGCCATAGATGACAGTTGTTTGCCCAAGTGTCAGCCAACAGCCTGAATGACAGTATTAGAAGGAGGAGGCAGTCACTGCTGATCCACTCTGCATCTCACATTTATCACTCTACTTTAGCATATTGTTCAGGATACTTCACAGCCTTAATGATCCAAATGTGCTACTATTTTGTGCCCTCATCTTTACCCCTTGCAGTGATCCAACATTCGAAGGAACTTGATAGTTTCAGCATTTTTTTCTCATCAATTAAAAATAGCAAAGACATGGTGCATTTTAAATTACTTTCAATGACAGTGGATTTAACAATAGAATTAATAGTGTTTGCTGATACAGTTTTATCAAGATATTTTTTCTGTTCTAGACATGGATTTGGATACTTTTTCTTCTTCCTTTGCATCTAATCCTTGTGACAGGCCTGTAAGATAGTCTTTCTTCCCATTTCATGAGTGAAAAAACTGAGGCTCAGAGACATGAAACAACTTGCTCAGAATCACTCAAGTTGTGAGGTAAAATGAGATCAGGCTTGTATCAGTGCTTCTTTGGTCCAAGATTAGGATTGTACTTAATACCATATTGGGTTTTTTGTTTGTTTGTTTAGCTGCATTCTCTTTCTATTCTTTCTAAGAGATACAGTACTCACTTTTGAGGGGTTTGTCTTGGATACGTTTCTCTCAATGTTGGGACAAAATACCTGACACTCAAAATGAGGGGAAAAGAGAGGTTTATTTAGCTCACTGTTTGTGGAGGTTTCAGTCCATAGTCAACTGGCTCGAGGGCATGGTGGCATGGCACCAGGGCAACTCTTCAAGACAGCAGCCAGCAAAAGCAACAAGAGAAAAGAGGTAAAAAACAAGCCTCTTCTCCCTTACATTGTAAGCAGGTTGCCCCCACCCAGGGCCAGTGCAGTGTCCAGACCACCTCTGTACCCTGCTCTTGCACAAGCTGAGGATATTTACAAAGTAAGAGCCCTGGATCCCTGCTGAGTCTCTTAGGTAAATTTCTAAACTTCTCAAGTTGACACAGTATATCAACAATAGCAGTCCACCCCTTGTCAACTTGGCAAGCAGATCCATTTCTCTAAACAGGTCTCAAGATAACAATGGCATGCTTATTCTTACCATTTTACAATTTGAACATTATAAAATAAGCTTAACAATCCTTAAGAACCAGTATTAAGTCTATCAACATTATATTACATTAGAGCCATAACATTCACCCTTGCCCTCCTCCAGGACTAATACACATTCCTTATGCAAAAGATATTTAGTCCATCTGCAAAAATTGCCAAAGTCTTAACAGTTCCCACAGTGCTTAAAAGTTCAGTTCCCAAGTCTCCTCTGAGATGTAAGGTAAACCTTAGCTACAAGTCCCTGTGTAAATAAAAACAGAGTTAAACACTTCCAACATGCAATGGAAAAAGGTAAGCATTCCCATTCAAAAACTTAAAAACAGAAATACAAACGATTGGGACCAAAGTAAGTCCACAATCCTGCAGGGCAAATGTTAAGGCCTGTAGTTGCCCATCCAGCATCTGCAGCAATCTGTGGCAACTTGAGAGCTCTAAAGGGCTTGTGTGGTTCTACCCCTATGGCACTTCTGATGGTTGTAGCTCCTACAGGTTTTCTCTTAGGTCCACTTTGCGCTTTCCTTGCAGCTTTCCTTAGATGACCAATGTTCCTGGTTTTTCCAAACTTCTGAAGTCTCCAGTATACCTTTGGCTTCACACTCATATCTTCACAC